GGCGGGATTTTAGATGGCAGTGGCAACGGGGTCTTGGAGCTCCTGCCACCGTCATAGCCGAGAAAGTCCTCGCGCAAATGGAGGCCAGGTCGCTGGCGAATCAGAGCGCGGCCGATTATGCTCTTTGGCAGTGTGGGGGAGCATTGGAGCATCGACATGACATGGCAGCCAGCCGGAGTGCGGCAGGCTAACCTGTTTCACGCTGTCCGATCATGTTTCCCTCGGCGAACACAAACCGACCATGCTGCCTTTCCACGGCTTCCCAGACCGCGACGGCTCCGAGACGGCCGGCCGAGCATCTCCATTTCGAATTGGCCCGTGAGGCGCTTCAAGGCGGTCTCGACGACGAGTTTCCGTTGTCCTCATCGTCCACAAGGCAGAACCATCGCCAGCTCCAGCAGCTCTGACAGGGATGCCTTCGCCTGAAGGGTCCCCGCGCAACAGGGAGTACCGAGGCTGCAACCTCTGTCTTCTGATGACTCTGAGAGGTCGCCAGTCGCGTTGCACTCTATTCTATTTACATGCAAAGACTTCTCGAGTTGATAGATGGCGGGACTGCTCTCTAGCTCGGCCCAGCTAGACTGACTGTAGGGGTCTGGAGGGATTGACAGCAAGAGGGTGACAGCTCTCACGGCTTGCATCATGACATGTGCGGGTGCTTCGTCATTGGCCGTACCCCACGGGAGAAGATATAATTACTGTGGTATGACGCCTGGCCCCTCACCGAGGGCAATCCCGTGCAATGTCTCAATTCCTCTTTAGAAGCTTCCCGACCGAAGGTTACGGAGGTATTCATTGCCGGGCAGCAGGACCAGACAGCAAATGCCTCAGTCTGATGATTTATTTACCGCCGGAAGCTTTGCTTCTCAACGTGGGGCACGAGTCCGGGGTCTAGACGCGGGCTGTTCGCGGCTGCGAGGCTAGAAAAAGTGACGCAAACCTAGCCCTGTCCATCGGTTCTTGGATTGGCTGCCGGAGCTGTTCTTGATAGCAGTCTCTCTGGAGGCCGCGGATTAACTCGCTCACCTTCCACGGCGGAGAGCAGCATGGAGTCGAACTTTGGCCGATTTGTTCCCTCCGACGAACCAGTATTCCCTGCACCGGCGTGTCCAGGAAAAATCAACAGTCGCATAAATTGGCGCCGGGAACGAAATTTTTGCAGACCTGGAGACCTTTGTCGGTGGGGCCGTGGGAACCCGGGTGGGCGGAGACGCCGTTTCGCGCTCGGCTACGAAGGAGATTCGAGGGCGATAAGAAAAGAGCTCCGATTTCCACCTTTCCGGCACGGAGAACGGCGTGTTTCCGAGAAGCTGTTGAATATCATGAGGAAACGGTGCTGCAGTGCATTCGGATCAAGTTGAAGCCTTTTTAGCTATCCCAACAAGTGTTATGCAGCAATGCTAAAGTTTGCGTCCAAACAGCCCGGCGGGCTGGTTGGTCGAAGCGTCGGATCCCACACCGGCAGAAAGTTGTCACCGCCAAAATTTTCCCCACGTTCCTGATTCTCCAACTCTCACTGCCAGACCGAGTGAAGCGACGACAACATCATCCCAGGATCTCAAATCGCAACCTCTATCTGTTAGCCAGGAATTCGCAGTCAGCCGTCATCATGGGTGTCTTAGCAAAGCGGACAATGACCAAGACCAGGAGGCGGTTAAGGTATGGCAAATGAGGGAAGGGCAGGCAAACAGAACCGCTGACTAGCACCAGGGATGTGGACCAGGTCAAAGCCGATTTGACAAACCCAAGACATCTCCAACTACACAAAGAGACCAAGGCAGCGGAAGACCTGCCTGGATTCGGCAAACATTACTGTGTAGAGTGTGCAAAGTGGTTTGAGACGGAAACGAGCCTCACCACGCATACCAAGGGCAAGCCACACAAGAGGAGGTGGGCTTTCATACTCATTCTGGCCCGGGTTGCCGTCATTAACTGTTACCAGACTCAAGCAGCTGAAAGAGGGCCCCTACACGCACAAAGAAGCCGATGCCGCGGTCGGCTTATGGACCGACAATGGAAAAGGGAGAACGGAGTCGCAAGAAGTTGAGATGACCTGAGGGCGGCATGTCCACTGCAATGGGTTCGGCCTGGTTCGTGGCCTCTCGTGCCCATCCGGATCATCAAGCCCTTCCCGAGTTATTCGACAGCATTATTCGACAGCGCGAAATTTGCTGCTCCCACAACTGCACATCGTCCCACACTCAAGAACGACAGCACCGCCTTGGGGTGCTCTAGAGGCGTGGCTTCATTGCGGAATCTACACGCGTCCATAAGAGATATCCTCCCCGAACATTCGATGCCAGAGCTAGCTGCCAGAAGGGGAGCCCGATTCTGTTAGATGGATTGTCTGACCGAACACTCGGACCCTGGCACGAGTGGCAAAGAGGATTGATACTCCGGATAGAAATAGATCTGGGGGTAGCGAATGAAGTAGCAGTTATCTGCAGGGTCCAGGCCAAATAACCCGTTGAGCCTTCAGAGTGAAATGTTACTGTGATAATGGGATCAATTCCTCGATACATCTGATATACGGATATCCGATAGATGCATATTGCCAGCTGAAAGTCTTGGCCTGGCCCCACTCTGTGTTTGTTGCCTTCATGACATCGCGAACCAAATTGTCGTCGCAACTTCGAAACTTCTGCTGGCTGACTTCATGTTCCTTGCTGCAAGGCTGGCACGCATCACGAACCGACCAAGCTTAGTTATGGGATCAGCGCATGCCGCGTACGCGGCGCAAAATAGCTCCTCAGGAAGCCACACAGTTACTGCCCTAGGAAGATGGTCCATCATCAACAAGCAGCTGCCTGCCGTTCAGACCATCAAAGCGATTCATGTCTACGACTTTGACAACACGCGTATGACGCAGATCTCCTACCTCGTCCGCAAGCTAACGACTAATTTGCAGTCTTCAAAACACCCCTCCCAAACCCAAAGATCTGGAACGGGCCGACGTTGGGCACGCTGGCGAACCCCGATGCGTTTGTAAACGGCGGATGGTGGCACGACTCCAGAATCCTTGCCGCGACGGGCGAAGGGCTCGCCAAGGAAGAGCCGAAAGCATGGGAGGGCTGGTGGAACGAAAAGATCGTCGAGCTGATTCAACTCAGCACCGAGCAAAAGGATGCGCTTTGCGTGCTTCTCACCGGTCGATCCGAATCCGGGTTCAGCGATCTGATCAAGCGGATGGTCACCAGCAAGGGCCTAGACTTTGATATGATTTCTCTGAAGCCCGCGGTCGGCCCAAACAACCAGCGTTTCCCCTCCACCATGATTTTCAAGCAGATGTTCCTCACAGCTCTGATGGAGACGTACAGATTCGCCGACGAGATCCGCATCTACGAAGATCGGGCAAAGCACGTCAAGGGCTTTCGCGACTTCCTCGCAGACTACAACAAGAAGCAGGCGGGTGGGCAGCGGACCCGTGGGCCCATCACGGCTGAAGTCATACAAGTGGCTGACATAGCTACCAACCTGGACCCTGTCATCGAGGTCGCTGAAGTCCAGCAGATCATCAACGAGCACAATGCAGCGCTCTCCAGCCGTCGGCGCGGGGTCCGAGGCGAGCGCCTCATGATCAAGAAAACCGTCTTCTACACGGGATATCTCATCAATGCCACTGACACGCAGCGTCTCCTCTCCCTTGCCCAGATCCCTGCCGGGTTTTCGGAGACAGATATCAAGTACCATGGCAACAATATCATGATCTGCCCTAGGCCTTGTCCACCTGGCATTCTTGAGAAGGTCGGCGGCATAGGCAGTAAAATGACGTGGGAGGTCACAGGCACAGCCTGCTTTGAGAATAACATTTGGGCAGCATGCTTGAAGCCGGTGCCCGGAACTGCCAAATTTCACACGGATAATCCAAGCCCGTTGGTGGTCTTGGCATTGCGAAAGGGTGCTCGTCCTGTCGATGCAGGTAAGATTCAGAACTGGCAGCCTGTACCGCCGGACAAGGCCTTCACTTTCGAAACCGTTGTTGGAGAGAAACTCCTTCTGCGGGTAGAGGCTGAGTATGCCGGTGAGGGGGAGTATCAGAGCTTTTTTCCCGGCAAGGGGGCAAAGAGGAAGCACACCATGGGAGAGGATGACTTTCGCTCTAAGCCGAGTCATCCAACGGGTCCTCGCAATGATCAAAGAAATTATCATCAGTTGTCTGGTCGCGGCGGCTCGGGACAGGGTCGGTTCCGTGGAGGCCACTCAAACCGGGGTTTCAGAGGCCAACGTGGCGGAGGACCTCGGGGGCGAGGTGGTCGCGGTGGTGGTGGTCACCACTACAAGTCGCTTGATGATGTCGGGACGAGAGACAACCAAGGTGGTTTTTCCCAGCAGGTATCATACGAGGATGACTCTCAGCGGGGCTTTCCGGTCCAGCCGCCGCAGGGTCCCTCAAGCCAGTACCATTCGCAAGGCCAGTATCAGCCGCCGTCTCAGCAGTATGGCGGTTGGAAGCAAAACGCGGGCCAGCAGGGGCGACAATCTGGCGGCTCGGGGTACGGCGATATGAACAACTACTACTAGGTTGGTAGTTGCATACGTTTGAGGCTAGTGTACATTAGATGACGATGAGCGCTGGGGCAACCAGATAGCGTTTGGAAGGCGTTAAGCGGCCGACTACGGATGACCGGTTTGGCAGGGCATGATTCTACTGATACCAAGTACTTTGATCTTGTGTCTTGATTGGTGTGCTGTCTTGAGTGTCTGTTCAATGATGTGGCTTGGTTACCAACATAAGTAGTAAAAAGCGTCTAATAACCGCACACAGCAGACAACGCCAGCTTCGATGTCTCTAGCACAACGTCTAGACCGTCCTTGCATGCAGATAGACGCAATCTAGATATTCCTCTCCTCCGGCTCGCTTCGCTTCGTACACTCCATAGCATCCACATTACAACCGCCCCATCCCATCCTGTCCAGGACACAAAACCCTCATCTCCACCACACCAAGAACACACACACAAAAGACCCATTTCTCGGGAACAAAATTCAACAGCAAAGAATCGGGTATGGTGTAGCGGTAACATCGCTGGTTTTCATATATTCTCTTCTCAAGAGAATTAAAGATCTCTCAGTAGCCCGGGGTTCGACTCCCCGTATCCGAGGTTTACCACCTTTTTTTCATGCTGGATTATTTGTTTTGGGTATAATAAGGGGGCAGTGTTGGCGCTGTTTTGTTTCCGGTGTCTACTTTGAGATGTTTGGGAAGTTGGTTTTCTTTTTTGCAGTTGGTTAGGGGCGCTGTTTAGATGGTGATGTTTGACTTGTCAAGTAGTTTGTAGGGTTGGTGAGCTTTTGAAGAAGGGAAGAATGTCAATAGACAAGTCCACGTCGCCGTTTTGATGTTACCTAGAGAAGAGGTTCCTGAGGAAAGGGGTACCAAATGTTGGCAAATATCCAGCCTGGAGACGAGAATCTCTTCAAGTGTTTCTCTGTCCATCATCTGATGAGACGGGATACCATTTAAATATTTCTGGATTCCTTGACTGCCGTGCAGTAGAGTAGGTATAGGAAAAAGCAACGCCGCCAAAGCGGTTCGACAGGTAATCGTGTTGAAGTTAAAATGAGGAACCCCGTTTCCCGAAAACACCCGACTCACACAGAGATATACCCACAAACCTTCTTGATTCCATTCGAGCGATGATACAAGAACCAAATATACAGATAAACAAACCGAATGATCAGTTTGTGCCACTCACCTCGATCGACATTGTCACACGACAACCGCCGACCCTCGAGTGTGTCTCGATAGCTCAACTTCACCCATCTCTTGCCGTGAGATCCGATCCAACATTTCCCTCAACAAAGCCGGCACCACCACCCACACACCAACGGCATCTCCTTCCCCAGCCAGGTTTCCACGAATCATCAACAGGGAGAAAGATGAAAGAATAAAAAAAAGGACACAAAAAAAATCTCGTCACCTGCAGGATTTGAACCTACGCGGGCGAACCCATTAGATGCCCGAATCTGAGAAATTCAAGTCTAACGCCTTAACCACTCGGCCAAGGTGACAGTGCGATGCAACATTCGGCTCGGAAAGTGGACCTATGAGGTATTGCTTGCATGCGGGGGATATGCAGCAGAGGTATGAGCGGCAGGTCGCTCGCTCGCTGATGGGATGGGATGTTCGATTCGAATGGGCGCTTTTCGTTTCAGGGTGATTAATTTGACCGTTTGAATGGTGTGCAGTGATGTCTCGATCAAGGTAGGCAAACTGCGTTCGATGCGCAATCCGATTGAAGTAAGGTATCTCGTTTGGTAAATGGTTTTGGTATCGGTTGTTTTTTGACTTGGCTCAGGGGCTGCTGCTGAGTGGTGCCGCGAAAAAACTTGTGACGGTAAGAATCTTCAGGGGGCTTTTCAAGCATCCCTTCCCGAGGAGATATTTTGCAAAGGACAGAGCTTGCAAACCGGCCATCCCGACACAGTAGCTAGGTATGATATGGAAGGAAGAAAAATTGCTGTATCAAACTTCCAGGAGAAAGATTTTGGGGGCAGTGGGGAGGGCTCAGTCAAAAACCCGATGAATCTCCTTGTCACAAAAAAAAACCAAACATAGCCAAGGGGAAAGGCGGAAAAGGAAACAAAAAAAACAGACCACCTCCTAACCCCTTCTATCATCTCTCCCGCCGGGAATTGAACCCGGGTCTCGAGCGAATCTCCCAAAGATGACAAGCTCACATACTGACCACTATACTACGGAAGATTTGTGAATGTTAACTCATTCACCGTAGTGTTTTGTCGGGGGAAGGAAACTTGGCCTGGAAGCTCGCATACGGGGAGTCGAACCCCGGGCTGCTGAGAAACTTTTCTTGGTTCATCAGAAAAACCATGAGAGTCAGCTATGTTACCGCTACACCATACGCGATTTCTTGCTTTTTTGTTGGGATGGAGCTTCGGAGTTGTGGGTTATAAGTAAGGATGGGGATGCTGGTGGTGGACGAATTTTGTGAGTTTGCTGGGGTGTTGGATATCCACATTGGATTTGGTAATAAGAGCAGGAAATGTTTGTTCAATACCATGGATCATGGGTGTTTTTGTGAAGTGGGAAAGGCTGTGAGCTTTTGGGTACACATGACACAAAATGCGTCGATTGTTGGCAGGAGTCTAGAGAACTGGGACGTGGTTGGACTATGGAGCTTCGAGTCAAACATCTTTGGTGAAAAACTAGCTAGGCAGTGCTGGACTTTTTCTTTGTCCCTCAGTTGACTAGCCGTGGGAGTGTCCCAGTGAAGCTGGGGCCTGGTGGTCGAAGAGTTTGAGATGCAAAACTGAATAACTTGGACGATGATGTCGAGCCATCATGTCAACCGAATTCCATTTTATACTCCCTGCTGGCCATTACATCTCCAAACGCATCTCCAGGGTAGTTACGGGGCCTACAAAAGACATCGACAGCGATAATGATTACCGATCCCTATGCTGGGTTGCAGGTCCGGTATCTGCTATGATCTTTCCGTCGACTCACTCTCATGACGCAACGTTCCTCATCGTCCTTGAGCGATGACCAAAACTGAGGGTAGATCGGGATTAGTGCCAAAGAGGGAGGAAGAACTGAGCTGCATACTGCCGACTCAACAATACAGCGAGAAGCCGGTATGCACCTTCCTATCCTCCCCGGGTGCTGTTGCCTAGCCGAACGCGCGCCAGGATTTGGTCATGAAAGCACGAAGTCATGAACGACCTGGAATCTGCAGTACTCGCCATAAACTTGTACGCCGCCCATGGCAACCGCACTCCCCGAAGGCGCAGTTCCCCTTGGCATGTACGGAAGCTCTGACCTGGCCAGGACGTTGCGTATAAATCCCATGCTCTCCTCGAGTCAAGGCTCTCCCAGTCCAAGACTCTCTCCGACAAACATCCAACCAGCATTAAAAGTAACCATGCTTCGGAATTGCACTCTCACGGACCTCCCTCATCCTTTCCCCAGTTTCGATAATGACATTCCCTGTCTGCTCTGCCTCTCGAGAACGTTGGTCCCACCGAGAACCGGATGCTGCGTTTACAGAACTGACGAGAACGGTGCGTTTCCACGATGCCTGGCGCCTTTCGTTACCTCTTTCTCACTTTGATAAAGGTGCAAGATTGCCTCGCTGCGTTGAATGTGAACACAGCAGGTGGGACTGTCAGCCGGTGAGATGCCTTGACTATCTATGCTTACCATGCAACGCTACCACGATCAGATGAACGCTAACGGCTACAGGTCCCAGGGGAACGCAGTCTGGAGGTAAAGATGTGGTGGGCGCAGATCCTGAAACTCCCCCCGGAGCAGGGCGCTCCCATGGCTATTCATCATTGGGGGGTGAGCCTTATGGCCTGGATCCGTGAGCACATCGATACAGAGCACTCAATGCACCCACAACATGACCAACAAGCCGCTGCCCCGAACCTCGCGGGGGCTACATGTGATCCCATGTCGGGCCAGCCGAGTCTGGGAGAGAGCAGCACAGTCGCTGCCGAGCGTCAAGCACTTGCCTCAGAGTGCAACGCAGCTACCGAAAAGCAGAAAGAAATTGCCGAATATCGCAACGCAGCTACCGAAGAGCGCCAAGCAGCTGTTGAAGAGCTCAAAGCACATGCCGAACAGCGCAAAGCAGATGCCGAACACCGCAAAGCAGCTGCCGAACACCGCAAAGCAGCTGCTGAAGAGCGCATAGCAATTGCTGCAGACCACATAGCAGCTGCCGAAGACCGCAAAGCAGCTGCCCTTGAGAAACTCGCGAACCTAGTTGCAAGTATGGCCGTTTCACCGTTGAGCAGCGCACCGTAAGGTATCTACCATTCGACACTGACCCTGAATGTAGGAGAAAAAAGGCAACAAAATATTTGATTGACATGCATGACTAAGGCCTGGAGATGCCGGTGGCAAGCGGAGGGAGACCATCAGCGCAGTGTGCATTTGTTTTTGTAGACATAAATGTTGATCAAGATTTTGTCGCTCCTTTTGTTTCCACGATCCTCCTCTGTTCGTCGGGCGGAAACATGGCGGTTCCCTGCTGCAATGCGTTTACCAGAGTGGCGAGGGCGTCATTCTTGAAGTCGTCAGCTGTGCGCACCTTGTCCAGGTCCTCTGCGAATTCCTTGGTGGCGCGCTGGAGATAGTACGATGTGAACTCGTCTGCCACTTCCTTGTCTGATTTTTTGGGCTGAGGAGGACCGGCCATGGTGATGAGGGACGAGTGTGAGGGTGGGGGTCTGAATATGAACTCGGTGCGAAGCGGTCGTGGAAGCCGAATATCAAGTATCAAGTTTGGGGATTTTGATGCTTGGTTTGCGACTGAGTTGAAGTTGACGAGAAGTGAGAAGCACTTGCGCTGAAATACCTGCAGGGAAGGGGCCGGGGGCGGGGGCCGGGGGTTTACAAGGCCTGCTCCCATTGGGCTAGCTGGATCGGACGAACAACACCAAAGATTCCATTTCGCACCGCACCCTTCAACAACTCCCACCAAAAACAAAAGAAAAAAGAGTGCAAAGCGACAACACGCCGATTCGACCGCACGCCTTCCCAGTTTACCAGACCCAAAGGCTGCCTCTCATTCAACAAGACTATACACACACCCGATTTAGCAAAGGTACCTCCTACCACGGGCAGCCCGCAGCGACCACGACAACATCGCGCACCCTCCCTCCCAGTAAAAAGCAACTGCAAAAAAAAGATAGTATAGAATAGCAAAACAAAAAAGAACAATCTCCCTCCCCTCGATCTATTCAAAGCGAAGCGTCCCCCCGGAGCTTCCGCCAAACCGGACGGGGGACGTAGATACCCGCGTTAGAGACACTACTTTAGCTACTTCGCTGGTAGGTAGGTGTGGAAAGTTGACCTATATACCCCCCGAGTACTAGACCGAGTGACGCCATGGACTTGTTTAGATCGGATCACATTTCGATCTCTCTGTCCATGCTCAATCTGATGCTCGGTACGTATCCAGAAACAAGCCCCAAAATAGAGCACAAATATCGGCCATCGATAACAAGAGGGACCCTTTGCATTTGGTTGCTCGCAGCGGGTACCGTGCGAATCCGCTGACGGACGCCCAGAATGTTAGCCTCAGCCTTGCACATACCCGAAATACGAAACGACCAGTAGCGGGAGAGCCTTTTCTCAAAGCTTCACCGAATCACCAGATTATTTCCTTCGAGAGAAAAAAGCCGGCGGGTCTGCCCGTCGCTCTGCCAGAGTGGTCCGTGCATCGTATTCACACAGACGATGCGATTGGCCGGCGAGCAGGAGATCCTGTCTTGGCTGTCACAGGCCGGTGGCTTGACGCGACGACTGCCTTTTTGCAACGCGGGATGGTTGAAGTGCGAAATACGACCAACTTCGAGATTCAAGTCATGGCGAGGAGTATATATATTCTTGGTGGTGAGAGGCAGGAGGAGAAGATGGCCGTGATGTGGTGTCGCAAACATCGATAACATTGTCTACCTTGGCTACTTATTCCGTACCAAACAAGAGAATCTCCATATTACCGACTAACAACAGAATCTCCAAATCAGCATGGGAGGAGAATACGTCAACGGAAGCATCTTCTTTTATGCCCCCAACAAGGGTGCTCCAGTCTTCTTCGCCCTCGCCTTTGCGCTTTCTGGCGCCTACCATGCCTACCAATGCGTGTAAGCTTCTCCCCGTTGCTTGTCTTCTTCCCTGGCTGACATGGCCAAGCCACTACAACAGCTGGAAAATAACGGGACTCTACGTCTTCTGTTCGATGCTCTTCGTTGGCGGCTTCATCGTCAGAGAGCTTGGCGCGTTTGACTATGGGGACCTGATCAAGTACATTGTCACTATTTGTCTGGTTTACGCTGCTCCGTACGTCCATGGTCGTTTCCGTCAGGGGGCAGGGGGCGACTAACATGCAACAGGCCTCTCCTTGAGCTTGCCAACTACAATATTCTCGGGCGGATATTGTATTATGTTCCCTACCATTCCCCGGTCCACCCAGGTCGGGTCATCACCACTTTTGGCTTCATCTCCATCGTGGTCGAGGCGCTTAATGGGAATGGCGCATCCCTCAGCGCCAACCAGTCGCTTCCCCTGTGGAGGCAAGACCTCGGCCGGAACCTGCTGAAAGCGGCGTTGCTTATCCAAGTTGGTGTTATTGGTCTCTTCTTGCTCCTGGCCGTGACTTTCCACCGAAGATGTCGCCGGGCGGGCATCACACACGCCGGCCTCAACAACGCCCTCTACACGCTCTATGCGTCGACGGCGCTGCTGGCGACGCGAACCATCTACCGTGTTGTCGAGTATTGGAGTATTGCCGACTTCCACTACGAAGAAGGGCTCGACCCCATGACGCTGAGCCCCATCATTCGCTACGAGTGGTTCTTTTACGTCTTCGAGGCTGCTCTCATGCTCTGCAACAACGTCATGCTCAACATCCGCCATCCCCGCAGGTTTCTGCCCAAGAGCACCAAGACCTACCTCGCCCAGGACGGTGTGACGGAGATCCAGGGGCCCGGATATGACGACAAGCGCAACTTTTTCATCACCATCCTCGACCCGTTTGACCTCTACGGCACCATCAGGGGGAGGAACAAGGCGGAGCGTTTCTGGGAGAATAACGGGTTCGACGGATCGAATGGGCAGCGGCAGAAGTTGGCGAACGAGAACGACCTCGAGGCGGCGTGAAGTGTGGAATCCTGCTGGTTAACCCGACCAAGGACGAAGCGGAAAGCCCGAGCCAACAGCCCTGCTCTTGCGGCCGCGCCGAGGCACCCATTTTGGAGATTTGGGAATAAACTGGTACATTTTCTGTAATATACGTAGATTGGGTAGCTGTTCATTTTGCTGCCTGCTCCTGGGCAAGCACAATAATATTTTTGAAGATGGATTTGTTTACAATGAAGCCGTTGCTTGAAGCTCGCAAG